TCATAGGATGATGTAATTTCGCCCAACAACAACCAATTACAATAAAAGATATACCGATTTCAAGAGACTTCACATGGGATTCACAGAATGCTGTAAGTAAATCAATGTAATAAAATAATGTAAGTTCGCCTGACGGAGGTACAATCAGAGATATATTCATTTCAAAAGACTGCATATGTTACATATAGACGGAATAAAGCAGTGTGCAGGAATCCCGTTGCATGTTGGAAGCTTATAGTAAAGTCTGATCATCATTCGCTATCCATGGTAGCCAACAGTTGATTTAGAAGAAGTTCATACACTGGATTAAGGCCAAAAATAGATGGTTGTTATTTAAAATAGCATGGAATGCACAGTCAACTTCACACAGTGGAACACTTCAGCCTATAATGTGGCGTAAACAACGTGGTGCTAAGAGGTGCTGAAGCTTGACGCTTGGAGCGTAACTTTTGCAGTATTGTTTCGTCGCAGTTGCACATGCTTATTCACCCGCAAAACTGAACGCAAAACCAAACATAAGTTAGCTTGAGCACTTCATTAGTTCTAACATGTCAAAAATCATCGACATGCTGTTAGCATATGCCAGATCACGTTTGTACAGTACTCAAACAATTTTGACAAAGCAATCATACCCATTTGACATTACCGGCGCGTATGTAGCATAAATGTAATGCAACCGCATCTGGTTATTCACTGTTAGGTGCACCCGTTGTGACCACCTCTACTTAACCTGAAAAAAAATGACTAGACGTTTGTCAATTTGCAAAGGAGAGTTCCAATTGTAAGCCTAATATTATATTTTATAATATGTATCACATCATATCATAATTATGCTCTGTAAGCATAAGGCTCCTTGCCAATACACTTAACAGCTAATATAACCAATTATAAGCCATCTAATCGGCTGAAATAGAGGGAATTTCGAGAGTGTCGCTGCACAAGGAATCGAACAGAAAATCGCACCTATGCTCCATTCAAATGTTCGACGTATGCCGATTAGCGATACAAGATGTCACAACCATGAAGTGAAGCCAGCCCCCAATGTCATTGCATGAGTGGGCGGCATCATACCAGCAGTCTTCCGACGCATTTAACGATTGCGGTCTAAAGAACACAATCTTGCGGGATCCGGGCGGCATTGGAAGACGTCCATGACGCTCCGCTCAATGTGCATGTGTGACATGGGGGGGAGGGGGGGGGGGGAACAGGCGGGCCACTGCTATGCAACAATGCGCAGAGGTGTGGGCAGATCTGGGAGTGGTCAGCGACGTGTACGTGGAGGGGGGGGGGGGGGGGTGAGGGCAGACCACCCTGTCTCAGTCGGTGGTGACATTGATGACCTTTTGAAGGCTGATATGCTTTAGGAAAACATTACTCCTCATCATACTTCAGTATCGTGCACATGAAATGGTTTACCAAATGCCGAACTTTACTCCCGACAATAATGAAGCAAACAACACTGCTTTCAATGTGGACGAACTTCAGTAGTCATTTACGTTGTATGGAAACACCTTGGTGGGCCCAGATGAGATTCATTATGCAGTCTTCAAACAGACGAATGGGAATCAATAAGAGCAAGTTCTGGACACGTTCAATTACATTTGGCGTTCGGAAAGTTTCCCCGTGTAAACACTCCATCGTAATTCCAACTTCGAAACCTAGGCAGCCGGAAGACAAACCTGAATTATATAGACCGATTCAGTTGACATTGCTCAGCACATTAATGAAAGGATGGCATTCAAAAGGTTTTCGTGGTACAATATAGCAAAATAGTACGATATAATATTATCATCTGCATCTCTGATCATCTTATTCGACTATACTGAGGTCAGAGGAGTTCTTCCCATCATAAATACGCCCTAGCGGTCATGTCAGGTCGGGTCAAGTCAACACAGGTCTTTCTTGATTTCAAAAGCGCATATAACCTGACATCGAAGGTGGCGCTCTCAGCGAAGATGCAGCGATTTGGCTTCAAATGATACCTTATGAATTCCCAAGTATCGTATCTAGACGGTAGAGCCTTTCAAGTGACACACGGTGGGCTCTTAACCCCTTTGCACCTTTGACACCTCTTTGCCACCAGAAGGAACAATACAATAGAGTGGTGCAAAGTGCAGCGATATTCCCTATTCAGTTCAATGTCACTATAAATGACACTTTCAGTGTCATTTGTGTCATAAATGACACTTTCAGTGTCATTTATATCATGCTCCTGAATATATACTAGGCGCTGTATGCCGATGATTGCTCGATGTGGGTACTAGAGACCAGGATCATACCATTAATCGAGGAAATACTGATGGCACCGGGTCGTGTCTGTGGCTGGGCAGACGAATAAGGGTTTATATCCTCGCCTCCGAAGTGCAAAGCCATTCTCTTTCGACGGTTTGTGAAAGAGCGAGAAATAATTAAAATACCCGAGGTTAACAGTCATAACCAACCAGGCTTTCTGTGAACATGCTACGTTTCTGAGGAGCTGGGTCACATTGGATTTCAGACTCAAGCTGAAAAAAAAACATGTCGAATGCACCAATGCGAGGCTTTAAAGCAAATGCCAATCCTAAAGTATCCAGCAGGTCGGGGATGTGGCGCAGATTCCTTCCCTTCGACTGTGACAACATGATTTAACAATACGATACTGCATGATGACACGAAGCTACGACAACCATCTGTGCCAGAGACTGAGCACCGAAACTTCCGCTATACATCAAGTGGAAAGGGATTGCATGAAAAGAATCTACGGGTTTCCTTTGGATGCAAGGACGACGAATATATGCAACGAACTTAACTTCGATTTCCAACATGACGTGGCGGCTAAGGAAAGTTCTAAATCACCTTGGAAGCAACGTAAATGTGAAATAAAATGAGCACAAGATACTCTGAATGCATTCTAAATGCAAAATGGTTTCCGCGGACTAAGAACGAATACCACTGACTTTAAATACATATTTACGGACGCTTAAAAACAGCTGAGTGGGTGGGCTGTGCTTATATGCACGGAGAGAGAAGCATTCGATGTAAAGGTATGATGATTTATGAGGCCGGGTCCATCTCGTAGACGCTGGATTACGCGGAAAGCAACAGGATCCTGGAATGTGTGGCATGCACGGATTCTCTATCCATGGTTACCGCGCTGAAAAATATACATCGAACCACTCAGTGCTGATGGATATTTGAGGCCTCACATCGTCTACCAGAAATGGGATTCAGGATAATAATCGTCTGTATTTCATGCAAATGCGGCACAACTGGAAATGAAACAGCGGATGTGCAGGCACTAGCCACTGTCCTGGCATATCAAATGCGTAAAAGCCAAATGGGGTACAGGGGGCATTTAACGACCTTGCATTCCACCATCCGTATTTTGTCGGCAAAACTCGGCGCGGATAGAGGCCACATCATGCACTGAAACCAGCTAAGGAAAACGTAGGGAAATGGGACTCATTCATGGGGACCAATCGACCTCAAGAAATCGTCCTTCGCCGTCTACAGCCAGGACACACCACCTATACCTATTCGAACATTATGGAGAGAGATCCAAGCCTTGCATAAGATATCTGCATATGTACGTATAGGTGCGTGCGTTGGTGGAATGTCGTGCTGGCGCGTCAGCGACAACACACTGTCGAAGTCCGCCATGAATATGGAGCAGCACCTCAGTGTAAAGTCCTTCATTGGCTGTGACTATTGTGATCATGTTGATGAAGTATTGGATTTTTTGCATGCCTCTCAGCTTTTGAAGGAACTGACGTGCTTGTAGATCATACCTTGCACGCATATTTGTTAAACCTGCAGCTGGCTTAAAAGTACGACCTCCGATATGTTTAGACGCCTATATGTGAGTTGGCTCACCTACGTAATATTACTCCTGTTTGTGCCCTTAGTCGTTATGTATTTGTGCCGTTACTTATCACATATCAGTTACTCAAGGCCTGATGTACTGCAAAAAAGGCAATACATTTTGTCTTTTGATACCTCGTAAGTGTACACGTATTGTGGTACGTAAGCACAGGTTCGTGCCAGTGTGTCTGTGTGCGTGCGAGCCCGTAGCGCGGGAGTGTTTTCTTTAATGTTTTGGTTAAAACTTCAATTCGCTTCATAGATTAGCGTGAGCAGAAACCTTCGCAGTTGCGACCCAACAGAGGACGACAGAACGTATCAACCTATCGAGGGAAAACTGTAATCATTGATGCGAAATAAACGGCCCTGTAGTGATCGTTACCTAAATGCGACATAGGAGACCACCGATCGTAATGACATGTCTACAGAATGCGCCTACCTTAATTCCCCTCACGGCGATGTATGTGCTATTGCAATACCTGCGTGGACAATCAAGCGTGTCTGACAGGTGATTCACATTGTATCTTGTGACGTTACTTTGCCCTTGAAACTGAGAGCTACCATGTTCAAGCTGTTTCAGGGCAGGGCGGGCGAGACGATCAAAAGGGCTGTCTATTCAAGGGATTCATTTTCTTCTTATTGAAAATTACACTGGTTTCTAAAAGAGTAGCTCGAGAGTTCATCAAGTATCATTACATTCCTCATGCTAGAATCCCGTGGCTAAATCTCTCCTTTGCATTTACTTTGCTTACTTTCCGAAGACAACTAACACGAAAGCTAGCAGATCAAGACTGCTACGAAAATGGCGCGACGAAGACAACTAAAGCGGACGCTTGTGCTCAGGACGCAACGCGTCCCACTCCAAGACAAGAAAAAGCTATCTCTTCGGACGCGCGGAGCTAACACACCGCGCCCTGACCGTCACTGTGTGTGTGTGGGAGGGGGGGGGGGGGGGGGGGGGGGGGGGTGGGGGGGGGGGGGGGGGGGGGGGGGGTGGGGGGGGGGAGGTTCCGGAATGGTCTCACGCAGTTGGCAACGTGCGGCAGGCTGAAGAACGGCTGTGAGTGATGGGCCGCACATGGAGTGGCGGACAGCGTGCTGCGGACCGAGCAGCGGGCTCCAGCGAGAGGGAGCGGACGCCGGCCGTGCCCTCGCCTCACCTCTCATCGGCGGGTGGTTCATCAGGATAGCCAGCGGGCACTCGTCGTCGTCCAGCACGTACTCCTTGAAGGGACCGGTCGGCCTGCGGTACTCGGCCGTCTCCGGCTGCGGCTCCTGGGTCACCACCTGGGCCCGCACAACAGGCCAGCGGTCAGCCACGCTACAAAACTCTCGGGCGGCGCAGCCGCGAGCGGCGACACTGCAGAACGCGAAGATGACCGTCCACGTTGCAACTCTTCGAGTGACACAAGACGCATGCAGCAGGGCTGCAGATGAAGCGGGACAGCATGAATGTCAGGTAGCAGTAAGTCCAAACCCGCCTTGGGCACCAAACCAGGGTTCTGCTTTGGTGGATGGAATAGCAATAACAAAGAGGACAACCACTGGCACTGCAACTGCTGGGCGGTTGCAAGTGCCCCTGCCCCGCGCAGACTTGAACGCCAGAACCACATAGGTTCCAGTACAGCGCTTCACTGGCCAATACTACTACAGTCCCTCCATTGCCGCGCCGCAGTGTCAGACGGGTGAGTCAGGCGGGTGGGTCGACAGCGGGTATGTACAGGTGACTGGGAACGAGGCGCGGCCAGAACACCTCAGACGCCACGCCCGTGACCGTACCAGACGACCGCCAGAACCCAGACACCCACGGGGACGATCCAGGGACGCAGCGCCGGAAATGAATCACGCCAAACAAATGGCGAGAAGGAAACAAAAAGCCACGCCCGAGATTAAACGCCCACGGAAGGCCTGTAACACAACACAGCAGCCAGTAAATTACAGAAAAAGACTACGACGCCGATTTAAGCCGACACTGTTATAATGGGAATGACAACTATTCAAAACAAAGGACACACACACATACACACACGCACGCACGCACGCACGCACGCACGCACGCACGCACGCACGCACGCACACACACGTGCGCGCACACTCGCGCGCACGCACACACGCACGCACGCATACACGCACGCACGCACAGCCTATCCGGGCAGTAGAGCCGCTCTTGGGCAGCAGGTAACACTGAATGCACGCGCAGATCCAACAACAACACAACAACAACAGCGGTAACCGCCGCGCAGCCAGTGTGATGAGCCGGCAGCATGGCAGCAGAGCAGCGTCAGTCCGAGGCAAGCGCCGGCGGCAGCGGCAGGGCACACTTCGCCGAGCGTCCGGGCCCGGTAGCGGCCAACGGACGACAGCAGGAACCCACCTGCACCAGGGCGTACTGGGCCGGATCTTCGCCATGCTTGCCATACTTCTCGAGCATCTCGGCCACGACGGCGGCGGCCGCGTCCGTGACGGAGAGCAGCAGCGTCTTGTACGGGACCTCACTGCACAGGCTCTCGCCGTATATCTGGCGGCGCAACGGCGCACGGGTCAACCCAGCACAGTGCTCGCCTCCTGAAACCGGGGCCTGACACGGCGACAACTGCTGCCGTGACACCGGACGCAGCGTCACATGGCGTAACCAGACACGACGCAGCGACGGCCACCGTAGCGACAACTGACACCGTGACACCGAACGCGGCGTCACATGGCGTAACCAGACACGACGCAGCGACAGCCGCCGTAGCGACAACTGACACCGTGACACCGGACGCAACGTCGCATGATATAACGAGACCCGATGCAGCGACGGCCGCCGCAGCGACAACTGACACCGTGACACCGGACGCGGCGTCACATGGCACAACGACACCCGACGCAACGACGGCCGACGTAGCGACAACGCACGTGTGCATGCGTCCGCTGCTGCATGTGTCCGCGATATTTGACGCGGCGACACCTGACACCACACAGCCACAACAGACGCAAGACCACGACACCTGACGCTGTGGCAACTACGCAGACACCTGACACAGCGACACCAGGCGCAGTACTACTCGATGGAAAGACACCCGGTGATGATTTCGGTTTCACGGCACGCCGACTGCGTTAATCATGTGACACCCATGAGAGACACCTGACACGACAACACCAGACACAGGGACGTCACGGACCGCAATCTGCGGACCAACACGACGTATCGCCGCCAGCTCGAGCCCCTGCATCCCTCTGTGCCCCTGCCGGACCCCGCTCTCGGGCCACCTTGAGACATACGCCGGTCGGCGCTCCGTCTGCCGCGGTTCGGCGCCGGCCTCCCACCTTCAACGTGCCGCCCGTGTCGGGTCCGCCGTCGCGGCTACGGAACTGGTGCAGCTTCTTCTCCAGCTTCTGCTGGCGGCGGCGTCGCATCACCGCCTCCGGGTTGCTGATGGAGCGCGTGAAGCTCGTCTCCGGCAGCTCTGGCCAGCCGGACACTCGGTCAGGTGCGGCGCCGAGGGGAGCAGGCCCCTGCACCTCGGCGGGGACGGCCGCCGGGGCGCGGCGCTGAACGGTGCGGCGCGGGCGGCCCAGTACAGCCTGCGGCTCGCCGCCGGCGCTGGTGAGCGGCCGGTGGGAGCCAGGGGCAGCGCGCCGCGCAATCCGTGCCAACCATACAATGACATGCAACAGCGTGTCCATTTGCGCCGCTGTATACATATACACATACAAACTTATATACATACATATATGTATATATATATATATATATATATATATATATATATATATATATACATCTCGGTCTCGGTCTCGGTCTCGGTCTCGGTCTCGGTCTCGGTCTCGGTCTCTCTCTCTCTCTCTCTCTCTCTCTCTCTCTCTCTCTCTCTCTCTCTCTCTCTCTCTCTCTCTCTCTCTCTCTCTCTCTCTCTCTTTTCACTCATTCGCTTGAAATGGTCGTTTCTTTCCCAACCTAGCTGACCTGCCACATCGAAACCAATGGTGAAATGCACAGGAACATATCTAAGCAAAGCCAAACAGTTCCATCAGCCGCTCTTTTAAAAGGGATGTGTAGCTGTCAGTAATGACTGATCCCTTCCACCCTCACCGGAGTAGAGTTTCTCCGCCACACTCGGGTCGTTTTCGTTGTTGCTCTGCATTCTCCGCAATTTGTCCTGCTTCTTGAGTAGTTTCTTCTCGCGTCTGCTAAGTTTCCTTTTAAAGTTGTCATCTCCCGGCGCAGCATCTTTCGCAGGTTTCAGCGACTGTGGCGACAGCGGATGGCAAATACGTTACACTAAACGTGTGTGAAAATCCGGGCATGTTCCTGTGTAGGTAAACGTTCAAACTTTCGTGTCAAATACTGCAGTTGGATCTTGGGTGAAGCAGGACAACTAATATCCGGTTGCGGGACAGCTAAAGAGGCACCTCAGCGTTGTCATTTAGCTTTATCTCACCGGCGTCAGGCCTCCCTAACACGCCGTCGTGGAACAATTTCAAAGCAAACATCCGTACTTGCTTAAATGCGCCGAGCGCCGAGCATTCGAACTTTCTTGCAAGTTGTTCATCCCGCCATAATTTGTTTCCAACTGCGATTAACTTTCAGAATAGCATGGTACCACCACAATATTTCACCACCTTCTGTACAAGCATGCCACAGGTTGGTCTAGACAAAGGGACCACTGTAGGGTCGTACCCCGTCAAGCACAGCGTGTCCATACCGCAATGCGGTCTCACCCAAGGTTTTTCGTCCAGGTTTCTGAGGAGGAAGCGTCCCTCACGGTCGTCCTTGTTCCAGTTCAGCTGCACGTAAAGGGGCCTCTCGTCCATTGCCAGCTCACGCTCCTCTGGAACAAACATGTTGGCCACGTTGTCTCCACATATGCGTTCAGGAGCTGCACGCTACAGTAGGGGCCAGGTGAGCAAAACAGTCAGCGCGATAAAACGACGGTGGCACGTTACACTGCGTGGAGCGTGGTGTAATCTGTCTTTACCAGGCCACATCCTTTGACCAACGCCGTCCGTTAGAGGCTGACAACTCCCTCTCAAACAGGAGGTACCGAGGTTCACCGCAGTCGCCAGGAGCCCTAAACCCATTCACTTCTCATCAGCAATGACCTTCCCGAGGTCAGCCGGCGCCGAGCCGCGCGAGCCGACCCCAAACCAGCGCCCCGACCGCCGGCGGGGCGGCGCCCGACCGTCACCACCCACCGCCACTCTCGTGGATCTCGTAGACGGCGAACCGAGGCGTGGAGAGCATGCGCATGTCCGGACGAAACTTCTCGGCCAGCGCCACGATGACGTCGCTGGCCGTGGCCGTCGACGACACGCGGATGCACTTGGTGCACACCTTCTGGCCCGAGTCCTGGTAGTAAAACCTGCGGCGGCGGCGTCCGGTCAGCCGATCGCTGGCGCCCCATCTGTGCGCGGCACTGTCACAGGTCAGATCCCACGGGCCGCTGGCGCCCCATCTGTGCACGGCACTGTCACAGGTCAGATCACACCGGCCGCTGGCGCCCCATCTGTGCACGGCACTGTCACAGGTCAGATCACACCGGCCGCTGGCGCCCCATCTGTGCACGACACTGTCACAGGTCAGATCACACCGGCCGCTGGCGCCCCATCTGTGCACGGCACCGTCACAGGTCAGATCCCACGGGCCGCTGGCGCCCCATCTGTGCACGGCACTGTCACAGGTCAGATCACACCGGCCGCTGGCGCCCCATCTGTGCACGGCACTGTCACAGGTCAGATCACACCGGCCGCTGGCACCCCATCTGTGCATGGCACTGTCAAAGGTATGATCCCACCGGCCGCTGGATGCGACACGCAGTGCCGCGCCATTCGTGCACGGCACTGTCACAGGTCAGATCCCACCGGCCGCTGGCACCCCATCTGTGCACGGCACTGTCAAAGGTCAGATCCCACCGGCCGCTGGACGCGACACACAGTGTCGCGCCATTTTGTGTTGTGGCACTGTCACAAGTCAGATCCCGCTCACCGCTGGCGCCCCGCTGGACGCGACACACGCCGGCGCGCCATCTGTGCGCGGCACTGTCACAGTCAGATCCATCCACCGCTGGCGCGACAAGCGCTGGGGCCGCCCCATCTGTGCACGGCACTGTCCCACAGGTCAGATCCCACCCACCGCTGGCGCGACACGCGCTGGCGCCCCATCTGTGCACGGAACTGTCACAGGTCGGATTCCGCCGGCTCAGAACAATGGGGGAGCCTAGACGCGTAGCCACGACGGCTTGTCATTGCCGTGACGGGAGAGTACCCAGTGGCAAACCGTACGGCAGACGACTAACGGCACGCACAGGTCTGCCAAGTTGACGGCTGTAGCTGCCTCTCGCTTGAACACGGACCCCGCCCGCCATAGTAACATGCGTGGGTTTACTTAATACATTACGAGAGGGCAGTGGCTTGATATAGGTACCGAGCCATATTATAACTACTAAAAGTTACGACCACCAGTGAGCCGGGACGAGCCCTGACAGATTGTGCCTCGGATCCGTATCCATCTAGCGAAGTCGGGTTCTACTTCCAAACCCGACATGAAACATAAAACGATACTGTGAATACGGCGACGGTCGGAAATGCCTGAGACAGTGACGGGGTACCAACATTGTCGGTAGGGCTTTACAACGCCCTTAGCAGCTAAGGCCGTATGGCGCCACCCGCCTCTCACCCTGCCGGGGACGACGAGTACCGCGGACCCCGTACCTCTGGCTTCGCAGGCGCGCAGCTAAACACGCGCTCAGGTGACTGGATGAATACAACGCCGCTCAGGTGGGCAGGGGGTGGGGGTGGGGGTGGGGGGGGGGGAGGAAGGGCATGTCATCCCTGATATTTCAAAAATAAAAGAGCTGAATACACTATATTTTGAGGAAATGTAGGCATGTCTGTTAACTCACGTTTGTCCAATTTGGAGGTTGTTAGGTCATGACCCTCCGGGCGACTAGTGTCAAGCAAGATTAAACTCCAGATCAGTGTCCGAAGTTCTTCCAGACCTCACTATGCAACCACGTTTAACCTGAATACCTCTACTAGGAAACAGGTCACTGATGTTCACTTCAGGTCAGCTACCTTATTTGACCTTCAGAAGGTAACGGGAACCAAAAACCTGAAATTGGTTTTATTTTTCACATTAGATAAGCGTCGATTACGCCATGTGGTATGTCCCAGTAGCAATACCTTGACTGGGCCATTCTAGGTCACTGACCTCTTCTGATCTTTATGACATTCAAAAAACAACTTTGTTAACCTACCTGTGTTAAATAACTTCGAGATGAACGTCAAATACTACCCCACAAAGCAAAGTTTCCGATAAGACAGCAACTTGGTTCTGAATTACGTAAGTTGTTCAGCGCATTTGCAAGGAGCATTATTCACATAGATAAGACAGTAGTAATAGCCTTATTCCTCGAAGAAAAACCAGAGGCATGGAAATAAAGAAAGGCTCATATTTCGGGCAGCATGCCTTTATCGAAATAATAGCAAAGACTGCTGCTATGGTTTTGATAAGGCATGTTGCGGAAAAATAACCCCATCTATATTTCCATTTTCCCTGGTTTTCTCTGAGGAATAAGGCTTTTATTACTGTCTCAACTTGGTTTGACTTCAACTTGATCTTCATACTTGACCCAAAGCTGATGCAATTAGTAGAAATCCTGAATTCGATTGTCCAGCTGTCAAGAGATCGTCTCAAGATGTACGGGTTTCATCTAGCACCTGCTCTTGCATCAGATTAAATGATGTTTCCAGGGATTGCCTTCGCTGACAGCCATGAACTAACTTTGATTGCTATAAGTCAGCGACCTACAAAGGCAAATCTATTGGTTTAGTAAAATGAATCAACTATTCAATTCGCTGCAGGTAAGAAAAGCTCGGTGCGGCTAAGCTGCGCAGTTCGAATTTATTTTGGAAAGCCTTCGGAGGGTCAAACTGCCCCCCACCCGAGTCCGTGTTAAGCAATGCACTACCGACATCCCCATGACGGCGTGCCCTGTGGGGGATGGCAAGGAAGGTGACATGTTTTTTCATGTTTCTTTGCATGAAACGCGACAGGGCTATCGCTCATCTGCATGTTTCCATTAAACGCCGCAGGGCCGATTTGGGCTGCTGCCCCGCGGCTCTCCGCTCTCGCCAGCCTTGCCTTAAGAGACAGGCCAAACCACGTTTAGACAAAAAATCCTGTTTAGACACAACAGCCGTGCTCACAAAGCTTGAAAGCTTTGTGACAATGCAACAATGCAAGGTTCAGGAAATTACAGTTCCAAAGGGACAGCTTACGTCGTTCCCTTTCACACCACTTCATGTTTATGTGCTTGTCACGTGATAAGAAAGATGCAGGAGAAAGATAACACAAGCAGAAATGAAATTTCTTACGTTGCCGGTGACCCAATCCCGAGTCATGGAGCTGCCAGCAATATCTTCTGACATATTACGTTCCAATTTTCAAACATTGCCGGCTTGCGGTGAAATATTGCATTCCTTACGTGACTGGGACATATTTGCGGGCAGTCATTTCGTGCACCGCACAAAGCCAGTCGCCAAGAGCCACTTAACCGTCGGGGTCAGCAGCAGGTTCTCTCTCCACATCTCGACTACGAACGTGCTAATACTAACGTTTTTGGCCTCACATTTTACGGACCATAACATGTCTGCCAAGGCGGGACCACATGACCCGCCCAAATTGGTGTGATTTTGATCGCGAAATGCTTTTTGTACTTCCATCCCGAAAACAGACAAGTCAAAGACCAAAACCACCATGAAATAACTTTTTTGCATCAACGCAAACTTACCTGTCACGGTTGTCTCGCTGAAGCACCAATATAATATCGAAATAGTACAGCGGACTTAAACAGGAAGTGAAAAACCTTGTGAAAAAACAGCATTAGAGCGGACTGTTACGTTTGACGGTCCACCAACGTTGAGTCACAGTGTATGTACCAGATACTTCTTAGTTGTGGAGTAGAATAGAGCTACGCGTGATGACGAAGAGACGCAGTGCGTGCGTGCGTGCGTGCGTGGTGCGTGCGTGCGTGCGGCGTGCGTGCGTGCGCGCGGCGCGCGCGCGCGTGCGCGTGCGCGTGCGCGTGCGCGTGCGCGTGCGCGTGCGCGTGCGCGTGCGCGTGCGCGTGCGCGTGCGCGTGCGCGTGCGCGTGCGCGTGCGCGTGGCGTGCGCGTGCGCGTGCGCGTGCGCGTGCGCGTGCGCGTGCGCGTGCGCGTGCGGTGCGTGTGCGTGTGCGTGTGCGTGTGCGTGTGCGTGTGCGTGTGCGTGTGCGTGGGTGTGCGTGGGGTGTGTTGTGTGTGTGTGTGTGTGGGTGTGTGTGTGTGTGTGTGTGTGTGTGTGTGTGTGTGTGTGTGTTTGTCCTCATCTACATGGACCCTGCAACACCGCACATCTTAATTTTAAATATCACGGTAATTGGGGACACGCTACCCCCCCTCCCCCCTTGGGCCCGGGCGCCATCACGACACGCTTTCCTGTGTCCGCAGGTCAAGGGAACCCACTTCGATCGCTCAGACCTGGTAACGCCTGCATGCACCAGCTGCCACGGTCAGCGCGTGCAGCGCCGGTGTCGGAGCACCGCAATCCTGCGGAGGGCGGCGGCGCATACCCGGGCGGCCGTGGGAGCGCTGCGGCTGCCGTTCTCAGCGGCGGCCGGGCCGCACAGCGTGACCACGTGCCGGCCGCAGACAGCGGTCCGGCGGGCACGGCGGCTCCGGCGGCGGCCGTCGCAGCCACCCGGCTGGTGGCTCAGGGCTGGCCCAGCGGCAGCGCTCAACACAACGGGCCGCCGGTCGGGACGGCGGGGTAAAGATAGAGCTGGGCGGCTGCGACGGCGATGCGATTCAGGCGGGCACGGCAAGGAAGGGCAGGTCGACGGTGTCGTGAGGTGGTGCGGTACGGTACCTCATCACTCCATGGAACTCGAGCTGCTCGTTGGGCTCGGACAGCTCGAACAGATCCAGCCGGTTGGCGTTCCACTGGGCGATCACGTTGCTCAGATGGTCGCGCTGCCGGCCCAGGTCCGGCTCCATGGCCGACTCCTGGAACAGGCGCGGCGTGCTGTGTCACAGCCGAAGTGGAGCCGACCCTGTGACACCTACCGTGGTCAGCCTGGTGTCCATAGCCTACCGCAGCCACCACCGACATTCGACACCGACCCGCGACACCGGGTCACGCAGGATGCCCACTGGAGCTCGCAGACATTTCAGCTGGGAGACGCGGGGCGGGGAAATGACACATTGACAAGAATGCTGATATAGTGTCGACGGGCGTGGCACTCATTTATCATTACATTTCAGAACTGGGGCAAACAGTCTGCTATGTGGTTCTTTTCTTGCACATGCGTAAGACTTAAAACGCTTGAGGCATCTTGATAATTTTTCCATGGTAGGTTATTTAAGAAACACGCAATGGACGGTGCTGAACACACTTAACGAGGCCCTTTTAT